AAGCTCATATACATCCTAGACAGTGATAATTATCGAAGATGCAGAGGTTCATTAAAAATTCGAGCCTTGTTAGTCGGTAGTTTGAAACCACAGCTCGTGACTGGCGCTGGCGAAAAACGTACAGCCTCGCATTTATATCCGTCTCGAATGAAACGAACTTCTGGAAATGTGGTGAACCAACAATACTTCCGGTTGCTGGCTGGAAACTCATTTCGTAACCAGGGGAAATGTAACATTTCTAAGCTTCTTCCTTCAGAATATTTACGTGCCTCGCACGAGCCTTCTAAAAGAAAAAACCTAAAATAACAGGAAGAATGTTCCGAGTAAAACAAAGTCCCGAAAGTTTTTCAACAAACTTTCAGGCATCTTTTCATTAAAGTAATATTCAATATGCCAGAAACTTTTTCACCAGTCAAACGTTTCTCCTCTCAAGAGATAATCGAACTTTCCGTCGCCGAATACTTTTTAACGGATTAATGGATTGTTGATTCCCTTAAATACGTATTCACCGTAACTACAATTGGCCGGGTCATTAATCTTCCCTGGCGATTGGTCTGTCGATCAATCCTCTTTATCTCTCCACCCTTTCTCTTTCTCGGTCACGCAGACCGTGAAATTAATTTTCAATAGAGAACGCGATAACACCGGATAGAAATAGTCGCGAAAGTTTTGCACGATTAACGACACAGACAAACGGAGAGATAGGGTGGAAACGAGGAGAAATAATTGATGATCGAAAGAGATAGGAAAGTATAAATGGTAACTTGCGGATAAATTATTTAAACTGTAAACACCCTCGTAATTACGTATGATATATTATCGTATACCTATTCTATGTGAATTTTAACGGCATAGGAGTTTTGCCAATTTTCTCCGAATCTAAATTCAGGTACAAATTGTGATACGTTTCTGTATCCGTCTAAATAAATTTTTTACTTCTACCCTGAAGCGATCGGCGAACAACCGGATTTCATAGGGAGACGACGAAAGATCCTTTCGATCGTTCAAATTCTCGCGACAGGTGTATACTCGTAATTGAAAACGATTCCGCGGAAACAACGTTCAACGCGGTTTGCATTTACGAGCCGTTCTGTATGCGTATTGTTTTTTCAACCAGCTCGCCTCGACGTTGATCAATTAATTTCAGGAGCAAAAGGAAATTGACGAGCGTACGGAAACGAGGATACCGTTGAACGTATACGGTAGTAGAAATAAAAATATTTTCGCGATTCGATTTGTTATTCAAAACATGGAACTTCTTGCCGATATTAATGTCCGGCTTTGCTTTTTCATTTTCGTTTTAAAATTGGAACATGAGCGAAGGTATGAAAGCAAATTGATGGGAAAATGTTTTATCTCGTTAAACATCAACGTGGAATGATAACGTTGTAAAAATGTAATTAATTTTATAACGTGTAATAGACGGAGGTGAAATGAACGGCTGATATCGGTGATATCGGTGAATCGAAGCCGGGGACTTCCCGGGACGCCTTCCTCGCTAAATCCTCTGAACTTATCGAACAGTTTCGTTTAACCTAACGCCACGAAACGAGCGAGATAATGTCCAGGAGGGTGCACGAAATCGTCGAATCCGCGGCCGAGACTAACGCCGATTTACGAGGCTGCAATTTTGAATGCGTTTCGAGAAACGAAGCGAAGCTTTCCGTGAAACGATGTTATCACTTTTTTTGATACCGTTACCGATGGAATTGCTTCTCCGACTCTAAACCTTCACTTTTCGAGATAAATTGAAAGGTATCTTTCGATTGCAACGAAAAATAGGAACGCGAACCGCAGAAATTTTGGCTATTTTCTTACTTCCAGGTATTTTATAAAACATTCGGTTATCTAGACATTTGACGAATATATTTAGCATTAAGAAGGTATTCGCGAAGAATTTAAATATCAGCGCTTACAAGAATCTCGTTCCCGTCTTTAGATTCCATCAGTTTCCTCTTCTTTCACTGATGTTCTGTTCCTCCTGACGGTATTTCCTCGAAGGAGGTACTATTTAATTCAATCTTCATAAACTCACCAACTTGAAATCCACAGTTTATGATAATAGTTGCCGCATCAACGAGTCAACCGTCGAAGAACGACTGACACTGCAAAATCGCCCTTTCTTTATCCGCTAGAAATGCATTCGTTCCTCCACCGATAAGGAATTCGATCAAAAGGACGAGGAAAATTCTTATCTTACTTTCTAATTTTTTTCCCTAATAATCGAGATTAAGTTTTATTTGCATCCTATTTATCGTGGCATTGTTTCTTAGCGATTTTAACTAAATTAAAATCAGTTTCATTTCTCCGAGTTATCCTTCTTCGTATAATCGTCAAAGTATCAGCGATATCTCACAGGTTTACACTTCATTTAGGAAATGTATCAAGTACTAGATTAGATTCTTTTCCAATTAATCTTTGTACGTGTTCGTAGGAAGGTGCACTTGTAAATACGTCAATCAGTTAGGTCATTTTTCTTAAAAGGAAATTTCAATTAATCATCGTGCACGCTTTTCGGGAGGGAAAAATCCTCGATCCTTCGATCAATCAACACGATTGTTCGCGATAAAAAGGAAACTTAATTTATCGACGACCATATTTTTTTGGCAACGTACAGAATTTGCATCGATCAGGGATTCTTAATTAAATGATAAAAATAAATACGATATTGATACTGCTTTTTGCTGATCGGTTTAAAACCTTTCCCATGTATAGGGAACATTTTTTAATCAAGCTTGTTTATTTTATAACATCAGAAGTATTCTATTTACTTAAGAAGGCTAAAAAAAAAGAATTACTAAGCTAATGTTCGTAATGGACTGTGACCTAGCTCCGGTCTCTTAACCTCGTTTTGATATTCTTCCGCGCCGCGATGTAAATAAAAAATGGTAAGCTCATGGTAAAAGGGGATGGTAATTAATTTCACTTTCAACTGAATTATCAGGCTAAGTACAGTGCATGAATAGTAAAAGAATGGATGTTACATAATGTTCCCAGAAAATTATAATAGAATCGTTACGGTAATTTGATGAATTTTTCATCCGCTTCGCTCGGAATTCCAACTTTTAATGACTGTAACGCATCACTGTCCGGTGCTGTTTAAGGTGATAATGCTTCAGAATGAAGAAAAAAAGAATTCCTTTCTCTCTTGACAGCTTTTCGTACACGAATGTTCGTTCGGTTTTTTTAAATGAAATCTAATGCAGACCAGGTAAATGGGTAGAGTTCGAGTGACAGACAGGATGGGAGTTGAATGGTATGCAAATCTGGGAGGGAAACGGAACGGTACGCGAACGGACAGAATCAGCAATCGTATCAACCGACGACTTATTATATTCGGAATAATAATAAGACGGCTGAGCTTTTAGCAATTCAAACTATCGTTTGGATTTCTTGCTTTCCCGACCCGCCGCCGCGAGGATGAAGTTTTCACGGCGAGTAAGAAAACCCGAATCTCTTGCTTTCAAAATTAAACCTCGCGTTTCCTAACTTTCGTTTTATTGATTTCGTACACGGTGTTTCGAAAGTTGAACAACGCGAATGAAAAATGTGCAAGCTGAAACGATGGAAAGACCCCGGTTGTGATTAATCGAATACGATAAAAATGTAATTAGAGCGTTAGAAGACAGACGGGCTGAAATTGTTGAGCGATAATGTAGATGGAAAAGTTGAAAGGGTCGTGACGTATAATAGAGAAAGCGAGGAAAGTAGGGAGCAACAGTTCTAGGTTAGTAAGCCAAGCGAAACGAGAAAACGTCCGATGCGAGTAATTCACTTGCCAGGACGTTCTCGCGAAGCCTTATCGCGCGGTACCCTCGCGAAATTTCATTAATTAGACACGCGAGGCTTAGTTTCGGCTGCGCTGTGGAAATAAAACCGGGTATCGCTGTCGTAAATCTGGAAAACTGGAATTCAGTGAAACCGAGACACGACCAATGTACATCGTGCTCAATTATGCTTCTTCCGTTTATATTTAAAAATACATACAGAGACTTTTAATTATTTTCTATGATTAAAAGCTAGCGAGATATATAATGTTCCCAAGTAAGATATCGTGAGTATGCAAATTCCGTAGCTAAGTAACTTTCTCAAGGAGTATACACACTCGTACACCTTTTGCAGTGAAAGGGTTAAACGGTGCACGAATTTCTAGTCGAATGAACGCAGATTAAAATAGCACTCTTGTATCAAGGAATTTCTGTTAATATGCTCTTACAGCAGTTGAAACATCCTAGTTGCTAGACGTACGAGGGTGAATTATGTGTAAGCAGATACATTCCGTGTCTAAGCGGTAACTTTCTCAAGGCGTTCACACACCTGTACATACGCTTCTCGTAGTCAAAGGGTTAAGCACGGTAGGAGTATCTGGGCTAATGAACAGAGATTAAAATTGCCACTTCTATATTAACGAACCTCTGCTACGTTAGCATCGCTGAAAGCTCGAATGAAAAGCTAGTTTGATATCGTTCAATGCGAAAGCGGGCTGTATTGGATAAGAAAGCGGACCCAACGAAAAGTGTGGCGAAGCGAGGCGGGGGCGGTGGTAGTCGAAAAGAAGTGGGAGCCAGTTGCGAAAAGAATTGCTGCGAGCAACTGAAGTTTCTGGCCGAGAGAATAAAACTTTTTACCGCTTTAATCTTAACTTTACGATAAGGAGATTGCATCGAACGGCCATTGTAAGTCAGCCTAGCAGGCCGGCAGAGTGCCTTTTACTGTAACTGCTCGACGGAGCAACTTTTTCCTTCCGTGTGTACAGAAATCGTAGCTTCAAAGTGGAATTAAATAACCGTGTGAAAAAAGACCGTATCTCTGTTTCCTTTTATTCTTCAAGACAGTGTTTGATCATTTTTCGAAAGAATGTGTATTCTACGAGTTTTGCATTAGAACCGTGTTTTTCTCAAATTTTCCTCCTTAACAGGTTAACATCGGCTATCATTAAATCATGTTGTTTCGAGATCGATACGCGACGTGCTTCCAGTTCCTCTTTCTCTGTCTTTCTCTTTTCGAAATCGCGATAGACATAAAATTTCTCACAAAAAGCCACGATGATTAAACATCCCTCGATGTTTCTCTTCGTTTACGTTCTTTTGTTCGTTCCGCCCCGTCGTGGAGGATTCGCCAACGGGTACAGAGGTAACGTTTTTCCCTTCTTTTTTTTCCCCCCAACGAAATACGAGATTTCATAAGTTCGATCAAACGATGCTTTGGTTATGTTCTCTTTACGCGGACGCTCGATACTTTATCGCGATTTATCAAAGCGAAATATGCCGTGCTTTTAGAAACGAACGAAAAAGAAATTGTTGTTTGCGCGAGGAATCGATGAAACACGCGATGCATACGCGACGAAACGCTACACCGAGGGGGAAAAAAAATAATTTAACGGCTGGGTTGTTCATTAGCGTTTCAACCGATCGTGCAGAAACAAATTTCGACCAGCGACGTCTGTTTCCAACCATGTTTCACTTGAAAATATAATATAAGTCGTGTTTTCGCGAACTTCAAAACTCTGCGTCGTTGGTCAATTTTCACATTTTCCCTCTTATTTCTTACTCACCACTGCCTTTTTCCCGAAATATCTACTCCGCTCGTTTTAGGCGAGCATATACGCCCACGTTTCCACGTGTAACCAAACGTATCTACCTCTGTATACTCAAATTAATTAAAATTAATTAAAGTAGCAAACATTCTGGATGAAATATATTTACGAGAGGAAATATTCAACGCTCTTCCCGGTACGTTACTTAAATTATTATCTAACCCAGGATTCAGACCTTTTTCGTACACAGCTTGTGTAAATGAAATTGCCTTTAGGTTAAAATTAAATACGTATTTAACAGAGGATTATTAAAGTGTTCTATTATCGTTTATTAAAATAATAGGACAACCTTATAGCAGAAATTAGAAAAAACAGAACAGTTCTTCTCAGATCATTGCTATTATAATCATTTCTCTTCCTCGAGTCTAGAAATATGTTTCTTCGTACGCTCGAGAGATTTCAACTGGTCTTTTTCACCATCCATGTTATTCTTGCGTGTTATTGTTGGCAGAGTCGTGTGCAGAACCTAGGAATCCTCTAGAGCCACGATATTTCTCCAGTAGACGAGTAGTCGTTATTAGAATCCCCTTCGCTTCTGAAATCTCAAGCTCTCTGCCAAAATTGTAGCTCAGTTTCAAGATGAAACTGGGTGAAAAAGTTTCTCACAATGTCAGACGAATCAGTGTTGAATCGCGAGTGTAGCTTCTTCTCTGTCAGCTGTCCTTTTCAGACAAACTCGTTGGTATCTATCAGAAGAAAGCTTCCCCGGCTTCTGTCGGTGCGTGACAGCTATTTTTCTTACTTCCGACTGAACAGGAAAGATTTCTGTAGCTAAGTAACTCTCAATTTTACAGGCAGTTGGTGTGAATTTTTAGTAATACACCGTTAATTGATTTTTCCAAGCCGTGCAGCAATTAAACGAAAAAGCGTTATTAAAATATCGATTAGCTGGAAATGAAGGACGTCGAGGCGGTAAAACGATGAAATTTTTACCTTGATCGATGCTTTCCAAAGAAATGAAGGGGAAAAGAGAGCACTTGCCTACGTTAAACCGGATTCATTAGCGAAACGCGGTTCCGCGAACAGGAAATTTTACGTTAGTCAAAGCGGAAGTAGGTCAGCTTGTTTTCGTCGAACAACGACAACGTTGATGGGATATATCGAAGGAAAAACGGAAGAAACGACGCGTAAATTGCAGTCGAAGTGTGACATAAGCGAAGAGGATTACGCATCGAGAGGAGGAATATTAATTTTCCATCGAACAATTGATTAAATTCAACTTCGATCGAGGATGTCAGCGAGATGAGATGAGAGTGTAACGACACCCTGTTAAAAGCGATTAATTTTTCAAGGACGTTACACGAGAGACGTGGAATTCTCCGACGAGTACGAGATCGTAGTGCCAAGGAAAGTCAGATCGGATGGAAAGTTTCTGTCGCATCAAATACCTCATCACTTCAAGCGTTCCTTTTACGCGGCTCGATCGAACAGGGACATTGTTCCCGATGACTCTGTTCACTATCGTTTGAAAATTGGCGACAAGGAACATCATCTCGAGCTGGAACCGAATCATCGTCTCGTCGCTCCAGGCGAGTAAAGAGGAAATTTTATTCGGCGCATAAAAGTAATTACCGTAAAATAATTTGCGTTTCGTTCAGGTGCCGTTATCGAGGAGCAGAGAGGATCGTGTAACTGTAAAAATAATGAAGATTTTCTGAAAAATATAAAATTGCAACGAATGTGCGACGCACAGTGTCATTATCTGGGACGTGTTCGCGGTCAATCAGAGAATAGCGCTTTGTCCACTTGCTATGGTCTCGTTAGTATTCTACCTTTTTATTTGAAACTCGTGTAACTTGTTTTTAATATCCCCGTTGAAACGATGTAGGCCGGATATATCAGAACGAAACGGTGGTGGTACACGATCGAGCCATTGACCGGTCACGATTTCACGAAAGAAGCGGAGCATCCGCATGTCGTTTACAAAAAGAGACCGGATGAATTCGGAAGGAATAGCCAGATGCTGTGTAACGTCACCGGCAATATGGGCAAAAGCATTGCCAAGCGTGCTTTCAGCTCGCAGAAGAGGCATCCTTCCAGGAAACAGGCCAGATCCTACACGCTCGAACTACTGCTGGTGCTCGACAAGATCGTTATAGATTATCACAAGGACTTTGACGTTCAGAATTACGTGTTAACGTTGCTCAACATGGTGCGCTGATCTTTCTCACAGGAGTTTCGAAATCGTCGAGTTTTTTAAATTAACGTCGATGGGTAATTTTAAGTTTCCCCTCAGGCTGCAGGATTACTGCACGACGTCAGCTTAGGAATACTGATGGAACTGAGCATCGTCAGGATCATAAGAATGCAAATCCAGGATGACGAGGTCCTCCTAATAACTAAACATTTACGTCATCGAGCTAAAATTTTAATTAAATTCAACAGATGAGTTTAACGGCAACCAAGAACCCGGAGAAAACTTTGAAATACTTCCAAGAATGGCAGCAAACGATTAACCCGAGCGACGATTCACATCCAAACCACCATGACTGCGCTATCCTGATCACCAAGTACATTCGAGCGAACGTTAAGTGAATTCAATCTAACCAGGAACGATCGTTAACGTTTAATCGACCCGTTCAGGTCTAACATCTGCGATACGTCAAGCTCGTGTGCTTTCACCGGAACCTCGACCATCGCCGGAACTTGCGATCCACTGAAAGGAGCTGCGGTTGTGAAGGATGTTGGCCTGCGCACGGGATATCATCTAGCTCATCAAATCGGGCACACGTACGAATTTTCGAAAGAAACGTTATAAACAAGTGTCCACCTTTTCCTGAAATTGAAATGTTACCAACGTTTAGATTAGGAATGTCGCACGATATTCAAGAGAAAAATGGCTGTCCCGGTATTATTCAACGTAGAAAAGGGTATATCGAGACCACGGTCATGTACCCGGGAAGCTTATACGTCACGAGGAAGTGGTCTAAGTGCTCGAGGAACTCTCTGAATTCGTACATCGAGTAAGAGGCTATATTCTATCGAGTCGATTTCAGATTTCTGTTGCTTTCATTCTAAAGAAGCAAAACGCTCCTTTTAACTGGAGATGCTTCAAGCTCTACGACAAAATTGGATTTAATTGAAAAAGTTGAAAAATTTATTTCAATGAAAATTTCACGAGCAGAAATTTTTTTCAGAGCCGGTTTCGGATTCTGTTTGGAGGATAAACCTTACATTCACGAGTTTCCCAGCACGGAGTTACTTCCGGGGGTAATGTACAACGCGGACGATCAATGTCGGCTGGAATATCGCAAGGATGCACGATACTGCGATATAGGAATCGTAAGAACAAAACTACGTATCGATTTCTGAAATTAAAGTTCAAAATTAATCCCTCGCGTCCCTAAAATAATTTGCAATAAATTTTCACGTGATTTTTTTTGTTTAGCATAAAAGTCAATTTAACTTTTAAATTTTGCAAAATTTAATTGGAAATTCTTCCGTGCTCCTGTTAATTATGCAACTCCCCCAAGAGTAAATGACCGAAATTTGTGATTACTTAACCGCATCATAATTAGTGCGGACTGTAATCAAGCAACGTGACGAGTGTTTAATGAACTCATTACCCTTTTGGTAGGATTTTTAATACAAAATAGATTGAAACAATGTTTGTTTTAAATCTTTGAATAATTTCACTATGTGCCCTCGGTTTTATGGGAAATGTTCATTTTTCAACGATAGAATACGAGCAGAGAAGATTAAAACGTTCGCGAAACAAACTTCATTGTTTCGATCAACGTGTCCATTCAAAAATCAATATTTTCATAATTTTCATTAAAAGCCTCGCGATGCTGCTTTGTCGACAAATTTTAACGATGGAACGATTTGATCAATGCAAATCGAGTTTGTCGGTGGCCGCTTTAACGATCCCTCGTTATTTCGCCATTTTGGAGTCATTGACAATGAGCCAACGCAGGGACGTAAATAATTTGCTTAAACGTTTGCTCTCTCTCAATGCAAAGATTCGCTCTTTTACAGATATAAAAGAATGTTTGCTTTTTACAAAAGCGTGTGGACAGACACGCTCTCATTAATACATTACCCGTTTGTTCATTAAGTTATTCATATTTGTTATACTCGGTGTAAAACGGCAACTGCAAACACTTCCGAGCTTTGTTAAAGGACTTCACCAGGTTAATTAAGCCCTCCGCGCATACTAAATTAGTTAAATTTGTCTGCTTGTTTGCTTCGAACAAAAAGATACTTCCTCGTCTGTATGTTGACGTTTTTATCACACTTTTCCCGCGAGAGAAACGGTGAAATGCATAACAAACAGGTAATTTCAAGTTGTCAGTTACTTGTTCTTTCTCTCTCTTTTTTTTTTTTTTTTCATATTTTTGATTCGTTAGAGAAGGGTGATAAATATCCAGGATCTTGTCCATTAACAAACGTAATTAAAATGATATTTGCCATTTTAACGAGCTATATTTCTCATTCTAGATTGAACGAATAACATGAAATAATCATCTGATTTCGATCGGTCATAATACTCGTTAAATCAGTCTGTTTAATTTTCTGTCCCAGAGCATTTAATTGAAGGGTTGTGCATCCAGGATACGAATGGTGTGCAAATTAAAAAAGTTAATTTATTTAATGCAATTTATAATTTGTTGCCTCGTTAACGTCGCTCAAGCGCAAAAAATTATATCAGACTTCCAAAATGAATTCTTTTGTTAGAAAAAACTTAATAATCCAATTTTCGTGTATATTTTCAATTTTATTAATATTCTAAAGTTTAATCCTTTTGAATTTTACCTGCCGGCCGTAATGAGGCACCATCTGCTGGTCAACGAGCCAACCTTTTGCCTTCTCTCAACAGTCTACCTTATCCTTTCACTCTCCGTGCATTCTTCTTTTTTTAATTACACACAAAATTTAATATCTAATGATTCTCAATCTCCTAACTTCAAAAGACACTAAATAGGTCAAAGAAGTTTAATGCCTTAGAACATTTGAAAAATTCTGAAATTTTTGTTTCGCCGCGTATCGTTTCGATAAGCGACACCCAATCGGTTCGCGATATCGTAATCGGCACGAAACTACCCGACGCTACTCTGCCAATGCGATTACGTTTCATTTTCAGAGCTGCGAGAGCCTGAGGTGCGCCATTCCCGGAAGGGGTTGCGTGTCAGCCCGGAAACCACTGGCCGAAGGCACCAGTTGCGGGAAAAACAGGGTAAATTATCGCCTGGAAAAATGCTAAAGTTAATTAACGAGTATCCTTTGATAGATCTCGATGCATTACATTAAATTTCAACTGATTAACGCGATGTATTCGTTATACAGTATAAATATTTTTCAAACCGCTCGCTAATTACACGTGAAAAAACATCGCGTTCCTTTGAAAAGTCGTCTGGTATCGTGCAATCTATATTACGAGGTAGTTAACGCGACGATTTACATATCAGAATTACATGAAACTTTTTCGAACAACGCGCAACATAAAAGGGTTAACGATTAGAAAAGTCGTAGATCCTGAACTTAAACTTTATACCCTCGCTTGCAGAACTGATTGCGAAAAAATTATACCTCCCTCCCGCTGAGGAATGATACATATTGTTCAGATACGCGATAATCCTTTATAAATACGTCAGGAAACATTTTACGACAAGAGTTTAGCAAAGAAACTGGTCTAGTAGGATCCGATGGCTGGAACTCTATTGGATTAAAATCTTTCTCTCTCTCTTTCTCTTTGAACGTTTTGAATTTCAATGCAACTCCGATTAAGACATTACGTTCGAGACATGCGAGCAGCTGTTTTTCGCGCTACTTCTACCTCCTGTACACACTCTATCTCAATGTTTTGCCAGCCATTAAAGCTTGAGATTGATCGAACATGCTAGGCTCGTTCGCTTTGCATCGATCAAAATAAATAATTGCCGGCTCTGGTGCGTGGAGAATCGATCGGATAAATCGTACGAAACGAAAGTAAGTGCACGCTGAAAGTTTCGAGAATAGCAGCAAAGAGAATTAGGTTTTTTACTTATCTATCATGATTTTAGATAATCATTAGCGAATTCTTTAAAAGGATCAAGTTTTTTTCTGTGGTAAAGTAAAAGAGACGAGGAACGTTGAGAAAATAAAAGTTTGAAACTGTCTTTCAGCAAACGCGTTTCCATTCGCGGACGTTCTATCACGTTCCTGCGGCTTTTCCTTTCCCCTCTGTTCGTCGATTATCGAAAAATATTTTTGGTCCTGTCATCCCGTCACGTAGCAGAGCGTGATCAAACGACTGCAACCGGTACTTCTGTTGATAAATTGATTTATTCGATTTAAGTAAAAACGATTCGACGACGTGACTCTTTCCGTAAGATCGTTAAAATTCATTAACATTTAAAAAATAGAAACAAGAGGAGAGTGTAATTTTTCTCTTTGCAATGAAACGCGAATGCAGTTAAATTTTAGTAAAATTATGGCAATGGCAAGTGGCGTGACTAATTTCGGTATCGCCAAAAGGCGCCCCCGGTGGGCTCACCGATAATTAACTTTGCAGTGGTGTTATGGAATGAAATGCCTTATGGTCGGCGAGAGGCCAGGAGTGGTGGACGGCGATTGGGGTGGTTGGTCACCTTGGAGTCGATGTTCTCGAAGCTGCGGTTCCGGCGTGGCTTTCTCGGTCAGACGATGCAGCAACCCTTCGCCTTCGAACGGTGGAGCGTATTGTCGGGGCGCAAGAAAGCGGCATAAAATCTGTGCGACAAACGTTAGTAAAGGAAACGAGATATTCTAAGAATTAAAATAACTATTTCGTTTCTGTCGCAGCCGTGCGACGTTGACGCGCCCTCGTTTCGCGACGTTCAATGCGCCGAATTCAACAGCTGGATCTTCCCGGAAGACGGAAATGTTCACCGATGGACGGCTTACAATCTACCGGAAAGTAGGTAGAACGATCTGGCAACAGATCGAATATTCGCTGACGCTGCATCCGTATGGATAGTTCACTAAACGATCGACCGCAAACAGATTTGATAGCCTCGGAGAATCCGTGCGCCCTTTATTGCCTGAGCGAGAGGAAGGTGGTTGCCTCCCTAAGGCCGAAAGTCATCGATGGCACCACCTGCTACAGGGGTATTCGTGACATTTGCGTGGAAGGGATTTGCAGAGAAATACCCTGCGATCTGAATATGGAATCGAACGCCATCGAAGATGTATGCGGCGTTTGCAGGGGTAACGGAACATCCTGTAGACTGAAGGAGGCTATAATAACCATCGAAATGGCATCTCGTGAGTCTAATAACATCACTGCCACTTGATTTACGTCCACGTTTGAAACCTCAAACGGTACTGTTTCATCTTTCTCGGACGTTTAAAAAAGTTCCGCTTTTCCTACATTAAAAGTCGGTACGTTAAATCTCATTGCACTTTGTTCGAAAGTTTTCGATCATAAAGTTAATAAAAAGGGGAAATAGTTTATGTCCGAGTCGAAGGATGCTCAAAGTTTGATTCGATAGAGGAAAGAAAAGAAACGAGAGGGAAAGTTTGAAGAATCGGAAGAATCTGTAATCGCGATAAATAAAGCGAGGAAAAAACTTGAAATTCCTTACCAGATAATGGTTGTAGATCAGTGAAAAGTGCGAGAACTTTTCGAGATATTCCCGAAAGAATCTCTAGCCTTCCCTTTGCCCTTCGCGCCCCGACGATATTTCCTATCAACGAATAAATCTCTTATCCGCGGTCCCACGAATCGATACTTTCCCACCCGTCTGCTAGGAAACTTCTAATAATCGGAGAAAAACTTTCGATGGTAGAACCGAAGAAAATAGTGGACGTACCGAGCGGAGCGACGAATATCCGGGTTGAAGAAACCGAACCAACGAAATCCAGGATAATGGTGCGGAGCAAAGACGGGAAATCATTGATTGATGGGTAAATGGACTTTCATTGAACGCTTTAAAAGCTTTAATTCTTCTTCCATATTAGCTCCATCGAATTGAAATTAAAGTAATCTTCTTCTTTTTAACTTCGAAAATTGCCAGGGGTCAGCAATTTCTGTCAAGAACTTACAAAAATCGCATTTTTTCTATGTATCTATGTAAAAACATTCAATAACTTCAAAGAAGAAAAATCGAACATGGCACCGAAACGGTCGGCTATTAAAATTCATATAACTCTCTATAGCGGTATCGCCGGCCGTCGCGGTGTTACTTCGTTGCAGTGAAAGGGTTGAATCGGTTCAACGTGAAATTCTGCAAATTACTTGTACTTGAACTCGCAACTATGCGTTTCAGCGATCGTTTAGGAATGTTCGAGGTGGCGGGATCGAAGGCGTGGCTAGGAACGATAAGGCCGAACCAGGAGGCTCTGAACATACCTGGACCAGTCATGAAGGACTTGGTTATATTGGTGAGCATAACGAACGCGGGACGCTAATTAGCTAGCCAGACGGATCGATAAGGTATCTCGAACAAGATGTCCAGTCTTGGACAGTTCTTATCGAACTATGCAACACCTTGGCGGTGATAACGAAACGAATAGAGGTCCGTTCGACTGTTACGAGACTATACTGGCTCTCATTACGAGCATTCGCACCTACGCATGGTGTAGCTCGTAAAATCTTGCACCGGTTGATTAGAAGTTCTTGGTATCTCGAAACCCACCGGGGAACGTTACTCGGATCTAATTAGCCTTCTCAGCACGTTTCATCGTGATACGGGTGTTGCTGTTTCGGAAGCTTCTATTCTCGTATGCCTCGTTAAGGGTATCTACGTGTCGCTTTGATTGAGATAGGAAATAACCTGATTTAATATCAAACTTACGCCGAGCTATTCTCTAGCCGGCTGATGCAATTGAAATGGCGCTGATCTTTTCATGCAAATACGAATGAAAGTTTGCTCGTGCAAGATTTTTCTTTTACATTTTCTTTTCAATCCACCGAGGTGTAGTTCATCCGTAAGTCAAGCCACCGCGTCTCTTTCCAATGTAAACAGGAAATTCCTTAATAAAACAGCTTTTGTTCCCATCGTGCAAACACTGGTCGAGTGCCAGGGGTGTTTCACGAAGCCTGCAGTACTACTTCCGTTCTTACACCGCCTGGGCATCGCTCTGTTGACCAAGTTATTTCATCGAATAGGTTCAGCCGAAAGAGAACGTGACGGTGAAGTATTCGTACGGTGTGAAAGAGAAGAGCCCTCGTAAGCCGGAATTCTCGTGGGACTTTGTCGACTGGGAAAAATGCAGCGCGAATTGCGGCCCAGGCGAGCAGATTTCCAAGCCTCGTTGCTTAGAAAAAGTCGCCGGCCTGGTCGACGAGATGTTTTGCAAGAACATCCGAAAACCGGAGGCGAAAGTGAGACCCTGTCATCGGGCTCCTTGTTTGCCGAGGTTAGTTACAGAAATATTTTAATTGAGACCAACGCGACGAGGCTGTACAGCAACGAATGAAATGAAATTCAAATCATTAAAATCGTCTCTATACTGTTCTTCACATTTTTTTTTTTTTTATTCAAAAATGTGATTCCATGCTTTCTTTTTGTATTATTATGAACGCTACGATAACTTTTTCGAGGAGTTCCATATTTTTTTATCTTTTAAAAAGAAGTCGAAGTAGTCAAATGAAGCTCGTAACGACTCTTATCGAGGAGAATTGATCGCAGTACGTTGAAAGAACAATCGTATTGATCGCAGATGGATGATCGGTGACTGGCAAGGATGCACATCCTGCCTACTCGGCTGCGAGAAGCGACGAGCCGTCAAATGCGTACGTCCTGTGGGCAACGCCGAGCAGGATGTAGATATTATCGCTGACAGCTACTGTCAAGCACCGAAGCCGAAGGAACGTGAATCCTGCAGCGATCGTAAGAAGCGGGACGACGACAGGACACGCGAAGAAAGGAACAAAAGTACGAACTCGTTAACGTTCTTGAATAAGTAGTACCATTGAACCGATACACGATACGTTGTTTTCTTATCGAATCATCGCAATGTTTAATATTTAAAACGAAAAATAGACGATCCGAATAGAAAAAGTACCGAAACTCGAACGGAAAGAAAGCAGGATGCGAAGGAATCTCAGATCGTGAAGAAGGGTGAAGTCGTGATCGATAAAGAAGATATTAAAAATTTAACTCTCACCATCTTCCTTGAACGAGACGAAGAGACCGGTGATTTAAACTTTCCGAAGGATTTCGAGCCTCGGCCATCGGCAAACAGTACCGAATTCACTTTAGTTGGAATGGATGCAATTAGATATATACAAAAAATACAAGAGAACTCTGGGATCAGCAAAAAGCATACTTACCTATAATTTAAAATTAAAATTTTCATACAAGGTTCGGTTTAAAAATTGTGAGAATCGAATCTAGAAAATCGTCATCTATATTTCTCCATACTAAAAATACATAATCCTACAATACAACGTTTAGCTAACTTATATAAAAAAAAAAAAGTACGTATCGATTAGCAAGATTGAAACTGTACGTGTATCGAAATGAAATGAACCAATCGGTAAAAGATAATCGTAAGGCTAAGGGATGAAATGATCGTTCACTGATCCAGGAAACGGGCGAAATTGTCCTAAGTGTTGGTTTGATTGGTGGTGCGAGTCAGAGGCGTAGTCTCCCGATGACCAGCCAGCTGCTCGATCATTGCGACAGCTTTCGCGCCCTTGTATACCTTCTCGTGAGAAGTATCGATACTGGCACCGATCAGGTCGCCGGATTGCTGGAAAGCCTTGTCCGACAGATTTGCCTGAAGGCTCTCCTCAATGTACGGTACCTCCTCCAGCACAACGTTTCCAATCGGCACCGAGTCCTTGATGATCGAGCCTGGTTGCGGCGTGGTTAAGTCCTTGTCGCAGGTGCCACGTTTCTTCTTGTCCTCGTCCACGATCGACCAGTCGCGCAGGAGCTGCCGGAAATCGGCTAGGTCCCCTGTCCTATCGAATTCGTTGGCCTCGATCGGCACGTCGCCGTGTGATTTCGCCAGGTACCGTGCCAAACTCAAATCTACGAACTTGTCGATCATCCTCGATTGCTTTTCCTCCGGTATCAATTGCCTTCCCTTTTTCGTTTCGACATTCTCGTCCGCGTCCCGGGTCTTCTTAGCGCAGGTCTTCTTGCACGGTCTGTTACCTGTTAGGAGAAACGTGCGATTAGATAATCGGATGAAAAATCGAGAGTAACATTTTTCAATTACCGATGCACTCTTCTTCCTGCTTCGGCACGCGACCTTTGCACGCGTTGAAGTTTGCTTGTACGTCGTCTTCGCCTTCGCGAGCTGCAGGCTTCACGCACTGCACTTTACGATGCCTGGTTCCCTTCTTGCTATCGCAGGCACTGCACTTGCTCCACTGGCTCACTCTCCACCTTATCAAAACGTTATACGATAACGTAACGCGTTGATCGATCAGAGTTTTAAAAAGGGGATAGTAAAGTTTACTTTGCTGGGCAAGGATTTGGGTTGCAAATGCGACTTTTAGGATCTGGTTTCGGTATGTCTTTGCAGAAAGTGGGACTCACTTTGCCACCGTGTTCTTCGCTGCACGTTGCTTCAGATATCTATACCACAAAAAAAGAATATATATCTTTATGCCGGTCATCGTGTCAATATTTTATTATTCATAGCATAATCACTTTTGACTATGAAATTCACAGAGCACAAAATTTGTTAATTAACTAGGCGTGCAGATACGTGATAATGGTTTCTCTATGCATCATTAAAGCGACTTAGATATTCAAATTACCATTGTGCCGCCACCGCATTTAGCGTTACAGTCGGACCACTCCATGAAATCCCACATGTATTTCGGCGTATATGACGGATCAGTGGACGTCACGTAATATACATAACGGACCCCAGGATTGCTGTCCACGATATGGAACAGGTACTAAAATCGTTGTAACAATGAATCATTAATGGCTGGTATTCGGAATCAATGGTCCATGGACCGACAAACTGCACGTTTACGTGTAAATGAGTGACCCTTAACCCGACACTGTTTCAACTTCGTTTATCCCCGGGCAATAAATAAAACGCTCTATAGTTCTGTAATTTCACGTACTTCTATACGAATATCCTCTGTAATTGGTCCTTTTATCAGAATTTCTTCTCTGTGTGGTTCGGGATGCTGATAGATAAGTACAGCACCCGCACAATCGTAGTCACCGCTTCTTGCCTCGCTCCTAAAATCACGTATACTCTTGTCGATAGAATTCTTAAACGTGAAATGAAAACTAACAACAGTACGAGAAATTACATGTCCCCGTTTATGCAATAAACGTCTTTCTTCTCGTATCTCACTGCCAATATGTTACGATGGTCCTTTAGTTCTTCTACGTGTATACCTCGAGCACCCTTAGGTATCGTCACTATCTTCTCGAATCCTGATAATTTAAATTTTATATCGACGATAAGAAGCGAAAGTAAAAAATTCGGATGATAGAAACAAATAACTTACGAACTCTCGCTTCGGTTAAATTAAAGAATCCTTCTACGGGTTTGCATTTAGTACCATCGCCCTTGCAAATACCACAACCGTCTTCGATCGCGTTCGAATCCAATCCCCAATCGCAGCCAACTTTCTGCGATTTCACGTTTCTCACGGTTAAGGGTTTATTAAGATTACACGTGTATTAAGAAGTGAAGATAAATTCGGGTTATAAAATTAAGGAGAATCGCGAATGGGGATTCAATTAGTAATAAAATCAATACAGAGGCGTAGCCAGCTTTTAATTAACGTCAGATTATTCATACTACCAGCGGCAAGATATCGCTCGTGTATAATTAATACACTGGAACGTGTAATTGCCGGCAATTCAATTTAAGAAGCAGCAGTATTACACTTAATATCACTAGCGGTCGAAAAAAAAAAGAAACGAAAACCTCGAACAGGTAAGATCAGTTCGAGCCAAGTAATTATACACAAAAGCAAAGTAATAACTTTATAAACGTCTTTCTTATCGTCGGAATCTGAAAGTTCAGCCATGTTAATGGCAGGACATTTTCGAGATCATAAAGTATATAATATTAAGGAGAAAATGGAAGAAGAAGCCTCTGTCTGTATTGCTTCATCAAATATTTATAAACAGTCATAATTGGAATTACAGACACTTATGAAAAGGAGATAAACTTACCCTGCACTTGCCACTGATACACATATAATTCGTTCCAGGTTTGCAAGGGGTTGAATCGTTCACCATTGGAGTAATTTTCACAAAGATGCGCTGTTCGTTAATGCAGTACAAAGCGCAAGGATCTACGTTAGTACCATAGTATGCTATCCATTGATGGAGACCGTCGGAAAGGACTTTCCTGTTGTTGTATGCCGCGCATTGCACCGCACGGAAAGAGGGTTTCTTGGGATCGCAGGGCTGCGCAATCGAACGTTATCGGTTTTCAAACAAAAAAAAAAAAAGAAAGAAAATCATGGAAAGGTAAAGGTACGCGATTTACCGTGGTGTTGCATATGGCCACCTTCTTCCTCTCGCCGATGCAATATCTGCCTCCGTTCGCTGGCGGTGGATTGTCGCATTCCCTCTCTGTGAATTTCAAACCACCCCCGCAGGTTCTACTGCAAGTGCCCGCTGGACCCCATTTGCCCCAGCCCCCGTGCACTGCTGTAGGTCGCGTGCCCATGTCTACGCACTGCTTGTGAATGCACCACTATACGTACAGCATTGGGTAAGTCTCAAAAAAAACATTCATTATCACCTTTCTTACGTTGAATTCGAAAATTTTGCGAAGCTTTGTAGAAAAACGAGACAACACTTAGGGGCGTTAATTCGCTCGGGATTGAAATTTTAAGCGGATTAACGCGATTCTGTGAGCTCGCTCGTTTTCAGTAACACGGTTTAAATTCCAGATAAGCAGTCAGTTGCATTCTCTGCTGCAGCGGCTCGTTTGGTTTCATGCAGAAACGATGAATAATTTTTTAATAAATGACTGTAAAATGATATTATATTGCGTTAAATTTTCACAATGTCACCGTGTTACATTAATCTCTGGCAAAAACAATTGTCCGGCTGCATGCAAACCATGTTATAATTTTCGCAGGAAATTGAGATCTTATGAGAGCTATTATACGTACAAATATTTTTTTGTTGCATTGTTATAGCATGCTTTATATGCCTTTCGCGTGAGTTGCTGCGCGTCACGGAAATTTTAAATTATTTCATTCCGCCAACTCTCTTTCCTCTCGTAATTTTTTTTTTCTCCGTTTTTTTTTTTTTGTGCCCTAATTCCTTGCCACGCGAATGAAAGTAACGATTACAAAGCAACTGCACGAAACGTACAGGAATGAATGGAAAAATTTTTCTGAAGCTTACCAGATGTAAAAATTTACCCTTTGGAAGGAACAAAAAGATGTAGCAGAATGAAAAAGAAACGTGGTAACGTGGTTGAACGACAACGTCAGAAAATATTTTCAACAAACCTTTTTCTCACCACACTTGGTTCCATCGGCCATTGGAGCCCCACGAGAGTAACAGCTCGCATTTGTATTACACCAGAGTTTGTCGCACACTCTTAACTGAAACGTACGAACGGGGTAAAAGTAATTAAATTTACTCTTCGCGAGTAGCATAACGAAATATATTAAGCAATATGTAACTTTCGTTATGAACGAGTTAAATTCGTATATTATGCAAGAATAATTGGAGCGTTTCGAAATATCAGGTAAAATCAGACCCCAAGGGAATAAAAGGCAATCTCGAGCTACTAATTTAATTAACTGAAATTCATGACACTCGAATGACGTTTCATTCCGGCCCGGATTTTAAACCTTTGAAGACAATGAATTTATTTAATGAATTTATTATATAGGTTCGATTATTTCAAAATATCATTGAAGCTAACAATACCCTGCTATTTGGACAGTGTTTCGACTCAGGAAACATCATTCGGCACTGAAAATCTGCATCGTACATCGCACCGGGTAGCATGTTTGGATAAGCGAACTTATTCGGAGGATTTTTCGGATCGTCGTTCAAGCATTCGCCCAGGCCGCTCCTAATTAATTTAGTATATCAATTCAGTCACTAACTTTTGGAGTGAACTGTAAATAAAGTGTCTCTGGAATTTACTCGAGGAAGCTGGTGATGAATCTCTTGCTACAGCTCGACCATCTGATCGTGAAGATGAATACAATAGGGGACATGATGAAGTAACTTTCGTCCTTATCTTGAGATTGACACCCGCTGATTGCTGGCTCATCGTGCGAACAGCCCATCCTGAAAACGTGTACCTTGCTGAATTGCGTCCTTTCGAGAAGCTCTGGTCGCGAAATTGAATATTTGCCAAGAGGAATCCTTTCGATTGTCTCGATACTTGTGTCTTTCTTAACCCCTTCACTGGTAAAAGGCCAGCCATAGGATGGAAATGAAACTGGCAAAATTGTAGAACACAATGACACACTGTA